GGGGAAGAATGGTTAACTAATCTACTGCTCCCTTGTGTGAACGCATAGCAGGGGAATGCGGCGCCGAAAAGGCTCCCTGTTGTGACACTATAGCCGTTGTAGGGGCAGGCGCCGAACGGCTCACCTGCCGCACTGTAGCCACAGCAGGAGCAGGCGCCAGAGTCAGCCCTATTGTCTCATCTAGTCACTATAGCAGCATGGCAGCTGTACTAGGACTAGATGGATAGAGTTGTATATATAATTTGCCACTGCAACTCAGAAAATACAGAGAGTTCAGATTTGTCATCTCCTATACAGAGCTTCGGTCAACGCTGGTGTCTCTGCTGTGTGTGTATGCTCTGTTCTCCCTCACTTCTTCTACCTCTAGCCATAGTGTATGGTCAGACAACGCTTGTTGTGGTCGGCAAGACTGGTGAGTGGTCGACTCACCTGAGCCGGTGATCCTGTGGGACAACAGGGCCGCCCAAGGTTTGGATCACAGGTATTGAGCTACCAAAGCAAGGATTTCGACCAAACCAGATGAATAAGCAGAGCATGGGACAGCGATTAGCTGATTATGCTAGCATGTTCAATGTGCCTTTTGAATATCAAGCAATATCATCAAAGTGGGAAACCATATGTATAGAAGATCTCAACATTGAGGAAGATGATGTGCTGATAGTCAACTGCATAGACCGAATGAAGAATCTGGGTGATGAGACAGTATCCATAAACAGCGCAAGGAATGCGGTTCTCACTACCATTAGAATGATGAAGCCAAAAGTTTTTGTGCATGGAATAGTGAATGGATCATACGGTACCCGCTTTTTTTAACACGTTTTAAAGAAGTCATGTACCACTACTCTGCATTATTTGATACATTTGATAAAACTGTTCCACGAGATAATGAGACAAGAATGCACATAGACAGGGGCATGTTGCTGTGCCAACTTCTCAATGTCATCGCATGTGAAGGATCCGAAAGGATTGAGAGGCCAGAGAATTATAAGAAATGGAAGTCACGAAGCCTGAATGCTGGCCTTGAGCAGCTCCCACTGAATCCAGACATTGTGAAAGTAATAAGAGATATGGTGGGAAAATATCACAAAGATTATGTTATCAACGAAGATGATCAGTGGCTACAACTGGGATGGAAGGGAAGGATACTGAATGCAATATCCACATGGAAACCTAGTGAGTTATATGTTGGCGACTAAGACTTAAGAAGCTTTCTAGTACAAGCAGAGGTTTGACAATCCTATGTATCAATGTTCTGAACTTATGATATATTTTTAAGTTTTTTACTGTGTGTTGGTAATACATTGCGTAGTGGCAGTGCTGCTTTTAAACATTTGAATTTGTGTTGCCAATATATCCTTTCTTACCTACAGAACTAATTTGTTCAATTTTTTTCTGTCATATAATGTATGGCGTTTGCATTACACCTCAAAATGTTGCCTGCTGGTGGGACGAATTCTGTGTAAGTTTAATTATTTAACCTTTGTTCATACATGGGCAATACTCAGAGTATCTTTACACCCAAGCATGCTCAATTTCTATGTGAGTAGAGGGAGAAAGGAAAGAATTGAGGATGCTATGGGCAATGCTGAATTGTGGATCCTCGTAACTAGTAGATAAGATCACCAGTTGGTAGTTACTAGCAGTATAACAACGAGGCACAGTCATGCCCGCAGAGCATGAAAGAAACGAAGGAGGCGTGGAATGGACAAGTACCTTGGTGGAGTCTGGAACGGCCGCATCTTATCCTTGGCTCTAGCCGTCTTCTCCGATCCGTCAGCATCCAGAAGTGGCCGGTCGCCGGTCCGGTCACGCATTCTATCGAACAGCTCCCGAGTATCCACCCGTCATTGATGTCAGACACCCTGAGAGCTACCTCGACCTCCACCACCTCCCCGCAGCGCGCCCGCGTTAGTCAAGACAAACCACGCAGCTTCTCGAGAGGCGTCGGGTCCAGCATCGGATGCGATCTTGACGGCGACCACCGACCATGAAAGTGCCTGGGATCGTCAGAGGAGGTGACTTATTTTTCCCCGAATGATTCTTTTTTGGCGACTATACGGAAGAGTACACTTGTAGTAGGATTAATAAAGTATTGTACTAAAGTTCAAACAAAAAGTATTGTACTATCTTTGGCCATTAATATACGATGTTTTTGACGAAAGTTAGCGAGGTAAAATAAGTTTGTTTGTCCCAATTTTCATACTACCATTAGTATGAATTGATACCGTATATTGCTAGTATCCTCACTACGTAGTTACAAATACTTCAACTTTGGCCAACGATATCCCTTTCTTTTCTTTTAAATTATTATGGCTTGACTACTGTTTTCATTAAAATATATATTTACAAGAAACAGTAAATTCAAGATAACTTGAAAGTGCATGATGTCGAGTCCAAACCACTTATATTGAGTTTAATAGTTTCATTATGTACATCAAGTCGAAGTTCAAAATATGCATATATATGGCTCAGAGGCCATAGGAATTAAATTTTACATCTGAAGGCTATGGAAAATGAATAGCTATAGATTATTTTAGTGCAGACGTTAAGGGAACGAGAACTTAGCAATTAAAGAGCATGTTTGTTTCATCCTTGGCTTCTGCCAGCCAGAAGTCAGAAGCTGAAACAAACAACCTAGTTGTTGAGCTGGCTCCTTTTTAAAAGCTAGAAAACTGGCTTTTGAAAAGATAAACTAAAAGCTGAAAAATATGTTCCGAAGAGCTTTTCAGTTTTGGTGTATTGAGAAGCTAAAAATTTACTATAAAAACCTACAGCAAAAAACCAACAACTAGATGCCAAAAGACAAAAGCCAACTTTCAAGCCAAAAGAACAAAAGCTAAACTCAAGCAAACAAACCTTAAATGCCATTTCACCCATGGGTGCTCAATTTTATGATTTGGCAACACACTCCTATCACCTAGGTGCGTCAACTGCTACACATTGGTATATTCACAAGATATGCTGTTGTGAGGTTTTGGCATTGTTTTAGCTTAGTGAACCTGAAATGTTGGGTTAAGGCACTGACAGGAGACTAATTTACTGAGAATAAAGACAAATTCTAGAAACAGTCGAGATCGTTAACCTGCAGATCACTTTCCTAATAAAGACTAAAGAGAACTCAAAAGTTGTTGGAGAAAGCCAGTTTCACGCTCGCCACCTCACCATTCTGTGGTGCTGATCGAAACATGCATGAACGGCCAGTATCAGGCACTATGCTTTCATGCTGGATGCCCAGATCACGTAGATCTTCTGAACTGAACGTACTCTCCTGCTTGCACAGTTGTGATGACGATCTGGTAAGCTTTTATACATCGTGGCAGTCTGAAAAGTTCAGGTAAATGTTGAGGTTATTCGTGACCATAATATTAGAGATGGCACCAAATTATGGTGATGAATATGGAGAGATTTTGATATTTGACACCCAGTTTGTGAGCCTTTCAAGATTTGAGGCAGAGACCAACTTTCAACACATTGGTGCCTCGCCCTCTCTAGTCTTGGAATCCAAACATCGCACCATCTGATGCCTTGAAAGAGCACGCATCAATAGCAGGAAGTAGGGAAAACAGTCTAAACATCCAACAAGAAATCAATCATCCTCATATCGCATTATCGTTGCAAAGCTTATCCAAACTAGTAGGAGTACAAGATTGTTGCAAATAAAGTAGTTGGCTCAAAGCGGCGCCTTCTCTTACTCCAAGCGCACCACCAACGGACATAACAATGCGAAGAGCAAGATTTACCTGGAGTCACAGCAGCAGAAGAAAGGGATTTAGGAAAGGAAAAGGTAGCCGGCAAGGCGGCAACCCAACCGCAAGTCCGAGGCTCCAAACTTGTGAGCACACCAGCGGCAATGGCAACATCTGAAACGACACCTGTGCTCTTGAGCTCGTCTTGTCCCTAGCTTTCGTCCTATCAACATTGGAGCCTCGTCAGACTCGCCAGTGAGCGGCTCATACTGCCAGCGTCAGCCATATGACATTGACTCGTTCTCGCTTGCCTTGGCATAGCTGTTTGCACGCACCATATATATAACCGAGATTGGCTCCTACTAGTTGCCTTGCTGTGACGGCTCAGTTTGCCATTTAATCTGGGCCAGTCTTGGGGCCTTTGCAGATTCAGTGGTACGGTACCTTCCTGCAGGAAAACAAAGGTAACATAACAGTCACCCTCTTCTCTTCTGCTGTGCTGCTCATTGTAAAGCAAATATAACATATAGCATCTTCCAGAGACTAATATGTTTGTGCGCGCAATATTGAACAATCTAACAGAGCCATAATATGAAAGGTGATCCAAGCTTAAGCTCAACAGCTGAGTTCTAATGCCAAATATCAGAAACTATTCTCCGTGGTAGTTTCTACTACTTTATTTGGTCTTCTCATGTTACTTACTGAGAAGATATTCTTTTACCATGTAAACTATGCCTAATTAACTGTACCACCACAAGGTAAAGGAGGTTTTCACCAAAAAATATCACCTCCAAAAAGTTTAAAAGGTTCTCATTTTCATGACAAATTTTGTTTTAACTTCTAAAAGATTATTTTACAAGTTGCTCCACCCTACAAATTTATTCAATTGACTCCTTAAACTCCTGATTTGATGATCAAGCCATTTTGTCCCATGAAAAGGTTCTCATGCTGTTCACGACATTAACAAAAAGGAACTGCGACACAGTGCACATTCTCTTCAGCCTATTTGTTGTTGTTAGATTGGACCTTTCATCTTACATGAAGAATATGAACAAATAAATAGTATGATTTGCTTAGACTAATAACTATACATGAAACATCGATAACTTCTGCTATCAATTTAATGTTTCACAACTTCACGTACAAGAAAATTGTTATGGAAAGATGAATTGGCTACTATATTTAGGGTGGAAAAAGGAACTCCAGATTCATATAACATTCTGTTTTGGTTTTACATAGTAATTTTATTGTTGACAATGCAGTTCAGGATAATCTTGCACGTCTGACTTTCTTCAATGATCAAACACCCAATCCATGGAGTCCAAAGACAAATCTAATTCAAGTTTTGAGGACTCCCCAAGCACCATGGTGAATAATCCTGGGTGCTATGCCACTTCCCAGATATTCATCGATGATCGAACCAACAGGCATAATGATTTGGAGTTATGTTTGCACACTCCAAACTCCAACTATCCTCCAGTATCAAGTAGTTCTAACAGTAATGTCCATGTTGCATCGAGCACTTCCTCTTCAACTAAAATATATGGTCCCCATCCATGTGAGGTCAGTAGCAATGTAAAATCAGATTGGTATGGAACCAATGCGACAGACTATTCTGGGAACAGTTGGATCACCTCGGATATAACACTCGACTACATAAACAAGCTATTGATGCAGGAGGACAGCGATGACAGGGTCAAATTACATCATGGAGAATATGCACTTAGAGCCATGGAAGAGCCATTCTACAAACTCCTCGGACAGAATAATCCAGTTTATCCTCAGCAACTACCACTTTGTAACTGTGACCATCTGAAAAATATCGATGACAGCATCAGCAAATCATGCAGCATTTGCTCTGTTGCTATTGACTCAAGTACTAGTCATTCTAATCACAACGTGCAAGTGTCGCACCTGGTTTTAAGAACAAAACCAGATACACACCATATGTGAACCCAGGAAGTCATATATCACATATAGCTACAAATAAGAGTAATATCAAAAGACAATGCTCCATATATAACGTATTTAGTATAAAGGATATAACCTTATACAGCAGACAGCGGAAAGACAACTCGACAATGCTCCTTACACGATGGAACCTTAGACAGCATTTGCCCCTTAAGATGAATCTCGTCCTCGAGATTCGGAAGATGTCGGCTAGGAGATAGGGATACTCCGTCTTTGGATTTTTTTTCTTCCTCGCGCAGTTCCATCGTCTTGATAAGGATTTCACTTTACTTTACATACCTGCTGACCTTACTCCAAGTAACTTGTCAAACTGATTCCAAGATTCCGAAAGGTACTCCAAATAATACTCAGGTAACTCCAATCACTAGGCCACCTTTCCTATAATACCAATTCTCTTTCTTAAAATATCCACCTTCCAACAAAGCCTGACGAATCTCTTGGTCAGAAGGAAATTCTACTATCAATCTTCAAAACATTAATGATTTTGGTTAAGTTGCTCGAACTTGGAATACAATTCTTAGTCCTTGATGTCACCCATACCTTCTTAGCACCATTCTCCGTTGCTAAGAGCATCGGCCATGACTTTGCATTCTTGAAGTAATAGCACTTTTCTGGGTCATAATCAATTTCATTCCAACGAGGATAACACAAGCTCAAGACCAACTTAGTGAAGATGTCCGGTAGATTCTTATGATCCTCCTAGATGTCACTTTTACTTCCAAGAAGATAGTACTTCCATGCTTTACAATGGATAACTCCAGATAACATGTTAGGTAGTTCAACTCACGCTTCCTTAGTTGACTTAATGAACAAGCCACTACTTTTCTTCTTGTATACGGACACATCCCACACCTTGACAAGGTGCATCATTGTAGATAGAAAAACTCTTGTCCTGATCTGGCAAAGCTAATACATAGGTTTTACTTCAACCTATTTTTTTTTACTCCTTCAAACACTTACCTGAGGTTTCTTGATCCAAACGAACTTAAACCTTCTCGTGGTAGCAACCATCACAGAGATAATCGATGCTTCCAAATGAATAGCTAGAATGTATGAAACCTTCGTCTTGCAACTTCTTTAACTTGGCTAACCCCCTTAAGAAAAGATCAACCAGGGGACACAAGAAGGGTAGCTTGCACCTTCTTCCAGATGAGCCAACTAGTCTCAAGACGTTCTGACATCCCAATGATACTCTCGTGTAGAGGCAAGAACAAGAAATCTGGAATTTCCTCACGAGCAGAAAAACAATAGTGTGGTAAAACAGATGTAACTCACATTCTATTAATCCAAGGAAGTTGTAGCTTATACCGTTAGAAAGCTTATAAAATTCTCCACAACTTCCTTATAAAACACTTTTCCAAATTCTGCAGTTAACTTGGTCGAAAACAGTGCACAACAGAAACCATTTCATATTTTAGACAGCACATGTGCATCGTCTTGTGATTTTCATAATTCTATAACCAACATTGCTATCAGGGTGATTCTTGTGTTCAGAGTAAGATAGTGAAGTCTACTATTGTCCAGAATTTTCTCATGATTTCTGATCGTCCAAAGTCAGAGATAAAAGCCGAAGAGGGTAGGCTACTCCGAAAAGCAGGATAGGGAAAACAGAAGAAAACCAAAACCTGACTATTTATCTCATTAATCCTTATACCTTAGGCCTATAAGCTATATGAAATTGTGGGAACACCCAACAAGATCATTGTAGTCATTACAAAGATGCAAAACAATCATAAGCATAATGACAATTCAACAACGCAATAAAGGTGCACAATTCAATCGTTGACTCAACTTGCGATACTATCGTTCTCATTGTACTAGGGGTAAAAATCCTAAGACTTATCTTCAGATTACGCAAGAAGGTGATGAGGAACAATTCTAAAAGCATATCAAATCAAGGAGTGAAGACGAGAACAAAGACTTTAAAATAAACACCAAGGTAGGGATGAATAGCAAGAGTAGAGATATAGTAGAGAAGAAAATATCAAGGTTCATAGAGCAAGGATTTTTGTAGTAATTTCTAAACCTTAGAACGACCAGTTTCTACTAGGCTTGCGTCCTACAGTCATCATTGCTCTAATACCACTTTGTCGCACCCAGTTTTAAGAACAAAACAAGATACACACCATATGTGAGCCCAGGAAGTCAAATCTCACACATAGCTACAAATAAGGGTAATTTCAAAAGACAATGCTCCATATATAACGTACTTAGTATAAAGGATATAACCTTAGACAGCAGACAGCGGAAAGACAACTTTGATCTTCAGGTGAAGACTCCAATCCATAGGGACAACTGACTAGTTGATCACAAGCCTAACTCCTCCAGACTAGCCATCTGGTACCCATCCGGGATTTTTCCAAAGATTTAAAAAATAAAACAAGCGTAAGTACATGTCGTACTCAACAAATATAACATGGGGTTCATGAGGCTCAAAAGACTAACACTGAATAACTGCAATTAGCTTTTAATAAGTCATCTTTTAGCAATTGGATAGCAACAAGTTTATCACAAGCCCATATACATATGATCATGTAAACATGAATAATGAATAGCATAAAAAGTATTCATTAGTGAACATCTTTATCTTCAGTATCATCAGTGTTCATAATCACTAACCATTAATGATCATCTATTTCGTAAATGTTCCAATGCCGCTCATGACCGTGAGCACGGCTAATATACTAGTTTTACACTCTGCAAAGGTTGTACACTTTCACTGTGAGTCGTGATTTACCCTTTCGTCCGAGGTAGCTAATCTCTTGACCCACTTTCAAGGAAGGTCGACAGGGTTCATTATGAAGCCTTTCAAAGGTTCGTCTAACAAGTTAGGGCCATTAGATTCACTCGACAAACAGATGTAGAGTCCCCCTTCCTGATGGCACAATGACGCGCAGCCTATACACAAGGAGACAGAGGCCGCACTATACCTGATTCGGCAAGCAATTCTTACGCCAATAAAGGTAACCACTAACAAGCTAGAAAAAGTCCTCATACTGAGCTAAAGACAGAGCCATGTAGCCCTCACAGCTGTACTATAAGTCCCGGATGATCACTTACAGATAAGTCCTTAGGGAGAAGAATCTAGAGCACCATAATAACAACCCAATGCTCTAGCCCCCTGATTCCATGTTGCTAAAAACATCTTTTAATGTTTATTGTATATACCATTAGTTAAGTTACAAGATCATGGTCTTTAATTGAGCACTAGCATCATACTACCCAATGCAATACCTCATAGGTAACAAGGCACAAGGTATAAAGTACTAGGAAATCCTTAGTGGTAGTCAAGGTAGATACATACAGTATGAATTAAATGATTAAAGGTGTATAGGACAACAAGGAAGATCTCATACTATACTTGTCTTAAAACACCGATCCTTCGATAAGCTTTAATCTCCAACGTTCTTCTTCTTCTTATCACCACGTATATCTCACCAACTGGACGTAATCATAAAGCACCACACAAGCATCCATACAGTCATACACAAAGCAAACAATAGAATAAAATCAGAATATTACACCAATCATAGAAAAATAAATAAAAGAGTTTGAAACACAATTCTACGCATCGCTATGAACACACAGTCGCAAGAGGCACGTTAATCGGAGCTACGATTTGAAAGAAACGGCTACCGAAAGATCTACTCATATAAAACTATAAGCTCCATGTGTTTTAACTATATAAAAGTTTATATAAATTGAATTAAGTCAAATTTAGATTTGAATTATAAACTAAAGTAAAACAAATCATATTTTATTTATAAAATCCAGTTGCAAAATTATTATTCAAATTAGAGTTTAAGCCATGAAATTCTAGAAATAGTGTCATGGTAAACATTGTTACTAACGCGTAGATCTCGTTGCAATGAATCTAGCACAACTTGAACGGGTCAATTCGGAGCTAAAACGTAGAAGATATGAATTAAACAAGATTTCCTTTATTAAAATAATAGATTAAATCTAACCTCGAATTTTAAAAGTTAAAAACATACTTAAAGTAATATGAACATGGAGATTACTTAATTACGAACCTAACGCAAGTTGAACGGATCAAATCAGAGTTAAAACAGAGATTTTATGACTAAAACAAGATTAGTGGCAAAACTGTAAATAGATGAAAACGTATTTTGAATCTAATCCGAAGAAACTACGCTATCTAAATAAGAAAACGTATTCTGGAAAGGTGCTATGGACTGCGGGTTAGAAAATTAAGAACCCGAGGGGTCTTATGCAAAAATAGCAGCTGAAGGGGTACAGGCTCATCTGAGCCTTTGGATCAGGAGCGGACGGTTGATTAGATGGGGAAAGGAGATGGGAGCCGGCCGCCGATCGGAACAGTAGCCAGGGGCAGGGGTCACAGCGGCGCCATGGCCGGACCTCACTGGAGCTTCGCCAAACGGCTTTTCAGGGCTCGGTTCACAATGGGAATAACACAGGGAGAAAGAGGGCAGGACTGCGAACTCACCTCAGCGATCCTCGGCGGCGTGGAGAGGACGGAGGCAGCGTGCGGCTTGGCGGGGAACGGCGACGGCGCTAGGTTGCGGCGCGGCGACTATGAACTAGGGTGGGATGGGGCGGCGGGTGCTCGGGTGGATGCGGGCGGCACGACGCTCCTATTTAAGGGGCCGGGAAGCTTGGGAAACACGGCACAAATGCAGAGACGTGATGGCGTCGAACTCCTCGGCAGTGGCGGAGTCCTGGGCGTAGACGAGAGGTTGAAGACGACTTGCGACTGGGCCCGGTCTGGCAGAGAGAGAGAAGGGGAAACGGGCGACGTCGGCGCAGATTGGGCCGGCGCGCGGGGTGGGCCGCGGGAAGCGAGGCGCTAGCGCTGCTGGGCCGAGGGAAGAGACGGGGCGCGGAAAAGAAGGAGAAAACGGGCCGCGACGGGGAAGAGAAGTGGACGGGCCGCGCGAGAGCGGGAAGGAAGCAGGCCGATAGCCGGCTTTGGGCCGAATAGGAGGGGAGAGGGGAGAGTAATGAAAAATACTTTTCCAAATTTTCTTTTCTATTTTCCTTTTTCATTTTCAAACCGAATTCAAATATGAATCAAATCAAATTTGAATAGGGTTTCAAATACACTTTTCAACTTAATTAAAAATGAGAAATTTTAGTAAGTTCTCAAAAATAAATTTTACAACCTTTTTAAATTCTTTTATTTTTCAATTACCTTTTTCCTTCTTTTCTTTTACTTCAAAGCCATTTTCAAATTTATTTTTTAAAAGCATTTTGAACGTTTTCAATTTGAATCAAATCCACACAATTTAAAGAAACAAATGCACCGGCATGTATGCACAAACATGTTGCTACCTTATGATAAATTTTAATTTAACAAAAAGTTTTATTTCCTACATTTTCATGAGCACAAAAATTCGTAATTAAATCATTTTAGCTCTATTTTCAAAAGAGGCAAATTTTAGGGTGTTACAGCAAGTTTTTAAAGCTCCATGGAGTCTATCTGACATTGTCAAAGAGAAAAAACAGTTCACTCAAGATACACTCAGCAAGGAGCTTGGTTTGAACGTTGGTGGCCTTTCAATTGCTGAAAAGCGCAGCCGAGATAATCAATCAGTTCAACTGAATCTTGCAGATAAAAGCAAGCATGCATTATCTGATGTTCATACTGGAAATTATTCACGTACAGAAGATTTTCAATTGTTTGAAGGAAGGTGTAGCAAGCAGTTTGCTGTTTCATTCAACGAGACAACCCGAGATGAGATGTTTGACAGGGTCCTACTTTTCTCTGAGCATAAGCTTACGAATGAAGGCATTGTTTTGCGAGAAATGATGACAAACAAATCAAACAGAAATTCACAGAATGTTCAAGGAAGAACATCAGCTTGTCAGAAGACACGAGTTAAGAAGCACCATAAGAAAGAGGTGGTGGATCTAAGAACCCTTCTTATCCATTGTGCACAAGCAGTATCTGTGAATGACTATACCTTAGCAAGTGATAGACTGAACATCATAAGACAGCATTTCTCAGTAAGCGGGGATGATACCCAGAGGCTAGCATCTTGCCTAGTTGACTGCCTTCAAGTACGATTAGCTGGAACTGGGGAGCAGCTGTATCACAAGTTGATGACTGAAACCTGCAATGCTGTGGGCACTTTAAAGGTATATCAATTGGGTTTAGCAATAAGTCCTTTCATGCGGGCACCATACTATTTTTCAAATAAGACAGTCCTTGATGTCTCAAAGGGAAAACCAAAGGTTCACATTATCGACTTTGGCATTTGCTTTAGCTTTCAATGGCCATCACTGTTTGAGCAACTCGCCAGGAGGGAAGATGGGCCTCCTAAGGTTTGAATCACAGGTATTGAGCTAGCCCAGCCAGGATTTCGACCAAATCAAATGAATAAGAACGCAGGGCAGCTATTAGCTGATTATGCTAGCATGTTCAATGTGCCTTTTGAATACAAAGGAATGTCATCGAAATGGGAAACCATTCGTATAGAGGATCTCAACATCAAGGAAGATGACGTGCTGATAGTTAACTGCCTATTCCGAATGAAGAACCTTGGTGATGAGGCAGTATCCCTTAATAGTGCCAGGAACAGGGTGCTCAATACCATCAGAATGATGAAGCCAAAAGTTTTTGTGCACGGGGTAGTGAATGGGTCATATAGTAACCCCTTCTTTTTACCACGTTTTCAAGAAGTCATGTACCACTACTCTGCGTTATTTGATATCCTTGATAGAACTGTTCCACGAGACAATGAGACAAGAATGATCTTAGAGAGGGATATCTATCAGTGTGCAATTCTCAATGCCATTTCATGTGAAGGATCCGAAAGGATTGAGAGGCAAGAGAGCTATAAGAACTGGAAGTTACGAAACCAGAAGGCTGGCCTTGAGCAGCTCCCACTGAATCCGGACATTGTGAAAGTAATAAGAGATATGGTGGGTCAATATCACAAAGATTATATAATCAACGAAGATGATCAGTGGCTACTGCTGGGATGGAAGGGAAGGGTACTGAAAGCAATATCCACATGGAAACCTTCTGAGTCATATGACGGCAACTAAGACCTAAGAAGCTTACTAGTATAAGCAGAGGTATGAAAAATTTTATGTATCAATGCTCTGAACTACACATGGAAACCTTCTGAGTCATATGTACTTATTATTTTTACCTTATGCTGGCAACGAATTGCAAGTGGCTAATACTTTGACAGAAATGGGCTTCCAAAGTCCAAGGGATTGCATAGGGGTAATACTGCCATGTTAAACATTTGGATATGAATTGTGAATGTCCTTTCGTACCTGCGGAACCATTTGTTTGTTTGCCTTAATTTCTGTCATATAATAATTTATGGTATTTGTATTACACCTCAAAACGTTTACTGCTGACATGAATTCTTCATGAGTTGAAACCTTTGTTCATACTATTCATGGGCGATACTCGACCACCTTTACATCCAAAGCAGGTTCTCTTTAGAGCGCAGAGGCAAAAAGAAAAAAGAAAGAAAGGAGTGGAGAACGGTATGACAAGTTAATACTGAACTGTTGATCCTTGTAGCTAGGAGTAGATATATTCATGACGGGTAAAACGTCATTAGCAGTATAACAGCGACGACGGAGGCTGTGGGGTGGAATGGACAAGCACAATGGTATGTACATACCTGGTGGAGTCCTGAACAGCTGCATCTTCTCCTTCGTTCTTGCATGCGCTTCGGTCTTCTCCTCCGATAGAAGCCCGGAGGGGCCGGTCCGTCAGTGAGTCGGGTAGTATTTGGTGCCGGTCGGGCATTTTGTCGAACAGCTCCCGAGCATCCACCCTCGTCGTTGAAGTTTGATGCCCAGGCCCAGAGCGCGTCCTCATCTTGACGGCGAGGCCCCGCTCGCTCGTCTTTTAATCCGTATTTTTCAGCTCGTTTTTTTAATTAAAATAGTATTTTTCTCTTACAATAAATTAGTCGGAATAGTATTTCAGCTTTTTTTTTCAGCTATGCGAACGGGGCCTTAAGTCGATAACCGTTTGGGATCGCCAGTTCGCCACAGGTGACTTCATTTTCTCTTTCACCTCTCCGGCGGACGTGGCTGTATTATGACCAGCAGTAAGCCAGGACCAGCACAACCGCACAAGTAGCTACAAAGTGAAACACTTCCGCCGATTTCAGTTTGCTCTCTCTAGAAATGGCAATCTCAACGACAGCTAAACGTTTTCTTTTTAGATGAAAAAAGGGAAGCGAAATGTTTTGTTGTGCGTCGCGCAAACCTTCGTGCTTCGGTGATGTTACCTGATCGTCTTTGATCATCGGATCAAGCGATGAGTATCAACATGGAGGTTGAAAGAGATTATGACAAAAGAGAGAATAGATTGGGTTTTTTTTGTTCAATCGTGTGTGATTGTTTGTTGAATACCTTAATGGGCTATGGTCCTCTAGTACATGCAGACAGGGTGATTTATATACAAACTAAAGTGATTGCTTTCTATTATTTTCATATTGGCAGGTGTGGGATATAGAGGCAATCTTAGGGCTTACTTTGCATTATCTTTCTTAGCTATAGGGGTTGATAATTTACAAAAAAACATATGCGGTTATTTTAAATTATCTTTCATAATAGTAAAGACAAGTAATTTAGAGGTTTAATTTGAATTATTTTTTATAATAGTAGAGGTGGGTAATCTAATGTAAATTTATGTATTTTTATAATGACAGAAGCAGCGATTTTTTTTATAAAGTAGAATAAATCCTTCGATTATTATTGATGATGATGATGATTGATTGATTGATTAGAGTCTACCAAATTAAAGGTTATATGTTTCTTATTATTATAATAATTTCTATAATTTATCTTTTTTTCTTAGTGTGTGTCATGATAATTAATGTGGAACCTCCTTTTAAGACCTTTAATTAGTAATACTAGGATAGCAGAGGTCTTGCCATTTTACTTTGAAAAGTTTAGCATGTGGCATTTGTAGTTAAGATTAAGAAAGAAATAAAGCAAGGTGTTTTCGTGTGGCGTGAATAGTTGACAGGAGGTAGGACTATTATAAATTTGGTTTGGCCAATATCCTCTTCAAATATAGATAGGACTACTATTTTATTGAAATATATTTACAGAAACCAATAGACTAAAGATACCTTGAAAATGTATTCTATCAAACCAAATCCACCTATATAAAATTAGTGTTTTCATGATTACCGTAGTCGCAAGTTTTAAAATGTAGTGGAACTTTATCATTCGGGTCAGTATCCAACTCAACACGGATGCTCAAATTGTTGGTAATTATTATGTGACGTGCTTGTCGATAGAAACACGTATTTGTTAATCTTAAGGTCTACCGGCTAACAGCCTGTTCGGGAGACCGTATCGTATCGTGGATTATTTACTGCTGGCTGGTTTGATGTGAGAGAAAAACACTGTTTCCAGCTAGAAATTTACGATCGTTTACGAGCAAGCGAACAGGCTATAAGTTTCTCAGATGTGTGCATAAACAGCAGGATGTGAATATGCGTATTTATGGTGGTGAGTGTGCAAGTGTGTATATAAACATTTGTGTCTGTATTTTGCTAAAAGTTATTAAAAATTGGGGGAAAAGTTCTCCTAAACAATAATGCATCTAAAACAAACCAGATGCCACACTAATAATAAAATTTGACATGAAAGTGACTATGATACGTGGAGCATAACGCTAAGAAAGTGTAATGTGTCGTAGCTATGATATGAAGTAAACACATGCCTAAAAATCAGTAGCGATAAATTTTACCGCAGATTCAAAGTGAACGAAAGCTTGCAATTAAATTATATTCCATCCACATCCATGGGTAGTAATTCGATGATTATTTGGTCATATGCCCATATATCGCTTAGGTGCGGCAACAGCCAGCCTGACGTCAGCAGTTTTAGTTGTCATGCGTAAGATATGCTGATGTGAGCTTTTCACACTGTTTTAGCTTACTGAATCTGAAATGTTGGGTGGAGACGGTGACAGAAGAATAATTACTGGAATGAAGACAAATTGCTGGAAGCAGTTGAGGTCGTTAAGGGTGTGTTTAATTCGCGAAATGAAATTTTTTGAATGTCACATCAGATATTTCGGGATGTCGGAAGAGGTTTTCGGATACTAATAAAAAAACTAATTACATAGCTCGCCTGAAAACTACGAGCCGAATTTATTAAGCCTAATTAATCTATCATTAGCGCATGTTGGTTACTGTAGCGCTTATGGCTAATCATAGTCTAATTAGGCTTAAAACATTCGTCTCGCGATTTCCAACCAAACTGTGCAATTAATTTTTTTTCGTCTATATTTAATACTACATGCATGTGCCGCAAGATTCGATGTAATGAAAATTTTTAGGAACTAAACAGGACCTGACTTGCACATCACAACGTTGTTGGAGAAAGGCCAGTGTCGTCACACTCGCCACCTCGCCACTCCTTGATGCTGATCGAAACATGCATGAACGGCCAGGAGCACGCACACTCTGCTTTCTTGCCGGATCGCGTAGATCTTCTTGGGAACATATTCTACTGCTTGCACAGTAGTTGTGATAGATGATGATCTGGTTAATTTTTACACGTACTACATTGTGCCATTTAAAAAAAAAGAGTTCAAGTAAAGGTTCTTGGTGATAAAATTCGAGATGGCAACAGATTAAAGGCGAAGAATATGCATCGATGCGCAGAGACGGGGGCAAATTCAACTTCGCCACCAGCTTGGTACTAGACAAAAAACAAATTCAACTTCGCCACCAGCTTGGTACTAGACAAAAAAAAAAGTAACGTTTTAAGTTTAGTCTAAGGGCATGTTTGATCTCTGCTATAAATTTTAGAGCTAAAGTTTTTAAACTGGTGGTCTAAAGTTATATCTAAATTTTAACACATCTCACATTAGAGTTTTAGACCTCAAAATTAAAAGTGCTAGAGCTCTAAAGTTTAGAGGATGAGATCCATACAAGCACTAAATCAAACTATTTTGCTTTTAATTAAATTTGTACTCCCTCTCTCAAATTATAAGTCATCAAGTTTGACTAAATTTATATGATAAAATAATAGCATTTATGATGTCAATTAAGTATTATTAGATTCCTCATTAATTATATCTTTATATAGTATACTTATTTAGTGTCATAAATCTCCATAATTTTTTCTATAATTTTGGTCAAATTTGAGATTTTTTACTCTCTAAGATTTTTGGAATGTTTTATAATTTAGAATCGAGTGAGTAGAAAATAATATCGATATTTATAACTTCCAAATAGTTATATTATTAAAGTTTATTTTGTGATAAATCCAATAATATTTATTTAATATAAATAGTAGCATATTTTTATATAATTTGGTCAAACTTATTTTGAGTGAATACTATTTTAGATATTAAATTGTTCATGTGACAGTTGACATGGTGGATGAGGCCATGCATGACAAGACATGGCATCGATAATGCTCGGCGGATCCTTGGCATCCACCGCCCACTTGTTGTACTGTGATGGCTGATGCGCCACTTGCCAAATCATTTTCTTCTACTCGCCAAAGAAATTTCTAACACACAATGACAATGCGCAACTCTTGTAAGTATAAAACACACGCACAATACAACTTGATCCATGGAAGATTATCAAACCTATAAATTTTTTCGATGAAAACAGGAGGGGGAGCCCCCTACTCTGCTTTTATTGAATTAAAACAGATAGTTCTTACAAAGATTATTCACGAGACAAAGAAGGAAATAAAGAAAATTAACACAATTACACGTAAGCTTCTAGCCATTGAGTGAGCAGAGGTGCTAATCTACTTTTTTCTCTAAGAATAACTTGAGCAAATTCTCTTCTAAAGATGACTTCATAGTTCTGAACAGTAGGTTGCACATGTCTGAAAATTGCATCATTTCTGACCGAAATAGACTAGGACATTGCGACAATAATTTCCATGAAGAAAGGCTGATGGAGTTGGTGTCTGAAGGATTCCAGAGTTCCAAAAGGGTCTGACGGTTGATGAATGATCAGACCAAGTGTTGCTCAGCAGGCTTCTGAGAAAGGACAAGCTAGGAAGAGATGAATGCCCTGATCGTTTGG